TTGATAATTATTTCAGAACCCTTTAGATTTTTCTTGTGTCCCCTTAGAGGGTCCCAACCACTGTCCTGAAAGACATAAAAGTATTAGCTGTTACAATTTTGATAGTTGAACCACCTGCAGACAATGAATGTTACAGCTGCAGTATTTTCTCTACAGCTTCTTTTTAATGCATGTGTCTGTGTTTTTACAACCTGTTAGCTAAAAAAAAAAATACTACACAAATGCAATATTATGTCCCACTAAGTGAACAAGTAGTGAATACGTTATTTTGTATATTGTTATTTATGTCCCTTTTTAAATGTCCCTTAACTTCTCTACTAATAAACAGTTTATGTGTTGGCCTCCATCACATGCTTTTCCCCTGTAAAACCAAGGAACCCCATTCAGCTCTGAAGTTACAGTCCTTGAAAACAGACAATGACATCATTTCATCTTCTCTAAGCCGTGAGTAGGTGTCAGTAGTCTCCTCCAGCACATTGTTTCAAAGTGAGAAATATTGAGGTCATTATATCGTGGGAAAATTAGCACACTGGAAATTCCACCAGAGCTTTGCTGCAGATTTGCCCATGTGATTTTCACTCTCTCTCTCTCTCTCCCTCTCTCTCTCTCTCTCTCTCTCTCTCTCTCTCTCTCTCTAAGAATTTCCATGCAGAAGGTGGGGGACCACAGAGGGCCATTTTCCCTGAACAGAGTGAGTAATAGCACTCCACTGATTAGTCTCACAGACAGACACATTCTTGTCCACTGACATCCCACACATGTGCACAAATGTATAACCAAGCATGCATACACTGACAAAGTGCCACAGCTGGGGGACTTGTGGGTTACAAGTGATTCAGTGTCATTCTCGGCCTTCTAGGCAATTTTCTCTCAAAACAAGAAAGAATCTGGCTAGGCTTGAGATAATTAAGCCCCTTCCCAGTGCAGTTTCTTTTTTTGTGTCAGAAACCTTAAAAGTGAGTGTTTTTATCCTGAAAAAAAATACTTGTTCATGATCATACATCACATTCAGACATATTAAGATCTGTTAATCTTCTACTACATTATGATGGCTAAATTTAAGAAAGTAAAATGCATTTTGGGGGAAACATAATGGCGGCTGGCTTTATTTTGGGTTCATATTGCATCTGCAAAATGATCACTGCCAACATTCTCTGAGTGGTTATTCCAGATAGGCAACTAAAATCTCTTAAGTTTAGGGAAACAATATGTTACTTGCATTATGGTTTATGTAGATTTAACTTCTATTAATTACATTTTTGGCCATTTGGGTGCAACGCAACAAGCTGTCAACACAATACTGACTTATTATCAGTTTACAAAGTTGTTAGAGGCTAACGTAACGTACCTATTTACACATCCATAAGATACCGACCAACATTAGCATTCACTTTAAGCCATGTTCTGTCCATATGGCATATGAAGTCTAATGTTGGCTCTCTCTAGCTTTATTTTGATTTCAACCAACTCCTCAGGGAAATATTTGGCTCTTAAGCTTCTGAATGCAAAATGTTTGTAAGATCAGTGGCAGTGAACCAAACAGTAAAGGTGCAGGCTGTAAAAATCTAAACTATGCGCTGTATGAAAGGTGCTAAATCATTCCAAACTGAGAGGAACTGCAGAGCCTAGTGATCATTTTCTGTGTATGTATGAGCACCACCTTTCACATTACATGCAGACGTTTGATCTATATTATTATTGATTAGTGGACCATTAATGTAGGTCAAGAGAGCTACTGAGGACTCAGACCTGAGTTACCATTGTGGAAAACAACCTCCTGCACAGGCAGTGGATGTGGCCATTAAACCGAGAGCTATTTGGGAGTTGTTGCAAATGAATGTCATTAATCGGAGACAGTTGCTGTTTGGAACCACATGTGCACTGTGTTATAAATGTATTTGAATATGGCAGGCTGCTGTCACAATAAATTTGTCCTAATTGTTGCTGGAGTTTTGACATTCTCATATGTTTCGCCTTCTCCGTGCACATTGGAAAAAACAAATAGATTGCTCCTCTGCCTATACAACACAGCAGGCTGCACCTCAGAATATGCAATCTTTATTAACGATGACACACTATTCTCAATAAAAGGACTGCTCAGGTAGATATTGGCCCATACGAAATGAAATAGTCATAGTTTACTCAGGGTGGGTTTATGTGATTTTACTGACTCATATAGTTAATAACGTCTCCATTGGAGTATCACAGTCAATTATCTTAACCAGATTTGGAGATAGCACTTTTTATATTGTTATTATTATATTTCCAAAGCTCTATTGGCCAAAGGAAGGTAGACTGAAGATCTTTGCCCTTTTCCCATTATGCATCACATTCATAAAGTTCTACACAGTCACTCCTGGGAGCTGACCAGTATGACCACTGTCTTCTGATGTTGGCTGTTTACGAGCTCCAAGAGAGCAGTTGGGGTTTAGCAGGCTGGCTTGATGGCACCTCAGCATCCCTTCAGGGAAAGGAAACAAATATTAACTTTACCTGCACAGATTTTCCCAGCTGTTCCGGGGAATTGGACCAAGACCTCATGTCTCAGTCTTGTCCGGAAAGAGAGCTTGTCTTGGCACCATCTGAGGACAGCACAACAATTTTTGGAACAATGTCAATTGGCAATATCTTTCACTTTCTTTTAATGTCTTTCACTTTCTCTGACAGCAGGGAAACAGGAATTCAGTTCAAAAACTCCCTAAACTCCCTAATCAAGACTATGAGTAGGCCTACCGGTAGTTACAGGAAACCATTAAATTGTTAATGTACAATATTCAAAGTAGAGATATTCAATTCATGTACAATTGAGTCATTAACTGAATGCTCAAGCTCAACTCATTATACTAAATCATTATTTTCATTGACCAAATCAGTGGCTCTCTACTTTGGAGATCCCTTTCCCTACAGTATGTCAGCTGCTTTCTGGCTATAGCTTAATGAAAGACAGCGAACACAGCCAGCCATTTAATCATGCGTTAAATTTGCTGTAGACTGGTGGTTTCTGAGCTTTGAAGATTATTAACAGTGCCTGTATTGGCCTAGTTTTGTGTTGAACTGAACATATTAAGTTCAAACCAGCAGCAGACTGAACTTATCACTGAACTGAAAACTGTCACAAACGGTATGAATGGTGATTTAATGTACGCAGTGATTGCGCTGCAGTTCACCGATCTTTGAACTGAATACAATTTGATATTTGAATTAACAAAGGTCTTGTTACGACCCGGCTCGTGGGGGAGAGGGAGGCAACATGAACCAGAATGTTTTTGGTAAAATTGCAAGTATTTATTTGCAGGGTTCACAAGAAAAACATGAAAAGGGCTGTTGGATGCTGCTTAACTCAAAGAAACAAATATAACTTAAAGAGGTCTCTCATAGCTTCCACCTCTAATTCAAAATGACAGCACATTAGGCAATATAAACAAAATGACAAAAGTACATGAACACTAGAACAACACCATCATTTGTTGAACATCTCATTTCAAAACCAGATAACAAGAAGCCTGGATTTGCTACCAAAGCATGCGTGAGGTTAGGCAATAATCCAACAGTTGGAAGAACATGATTGTCCGAAATATTAATATATGATTAAAGGGATGGTTTAACATTTTGGGAAATACACTTATATTGTTCCAAGAGTTAGATTAGATGATGGGTACCACTTTTAAGCCTGTATGCTGAATATAAGACACCACCAGCAGCCGGCTAATTTAGCCCAGCACAAAGACTGGAAATAGGGAAACAGCTGGCCTGGCTCTGTCCAGCTACCAGCACCTCTAAATCTCACTAATAAACTTCCTCTCTCTCGTTTGTTTAATTTGTACAAAATCCAAAGTGTAAAAATACGACCATTTGTCATTTCACAGGGATTATGTGCTGGATTATTTCATGGCCAGGACCAGACACTTCCTGGAATCTGTGCTGGTTGCCTAGCAACTGCTCCCGGTTACACTATATGAGCAGTGAACTGGTATCGTTCTGTTAATAATAATGAAGATGTATTTAAAAAGTGAGGTTTAAATTTTGTTATAATTACTACAGCTTGTGTCCACGAGGAGGCTCCAACAAGTGAACTAGTTCAATGTACTGTGGCTTATGCAGTTCCCTTTGCTGTCATCTTATGATCTGTCAAGTTAATTTTAATTATATAATGACACATATGTCTCAGAGGGCTTTACAATCTGTACAGTAGACTAAACGACACCCATCTTTAGTCAGTGAAAGCTGGAATTTTTTATTCTGAGCGACCCCCAGCTGTGTATCAAATCTCCAGCCTTGGCAGCAGTGTAGCCATCCGTATTTAACACATAGTGTGTTATTGCACATAAATCCAGCGCAGTATTTAACACAGTGTAATGAATTCATTCAAGTTGTGAAAATATGGGGTACAAAGGCTCTGGCAGACTATAATTTCAGTATACATGTGCCAGCTTGAAGCTCAATTACAGTATGTGTCTCGCACAGGCCTGGAGGATCTGCAAGGGGTTTCGAAAGCTCTCCAAAGGCCATAACTCAGGTACGAATTTCCTGAACGAAACAGACAGCTGGGTCTGGGTAATGGGCTTCAGATGAAAATTTCTCATCACTGTGAGATGAATTGCTGCGGATTAAAGTGTTGTTCCGGGGTTGAAAAGATGCAACCTGGGGCTCCTCTTGCTACAGTTCATCAACTCCCAGCAGAGAGAGAGAGAGAGAGAGAGAGAGACAGAGAGATTGTGTGTGTGTGTGTGCTACACAGCAGGATCAAGTTTTCTACTGAGATGCCAAAGTCATGATGCGATACTCCTTATATGGGGAAAATGATAAGAAACGGAGACGGGTGGGATGATAACATAAAATAAATACAAATATCGTCATATAATTCTTTGGAAAACAGTTTAAAATATTTTATTTCCTGATATTGACGTTTCCCTCCAGGAAATGACTGGGAATTTCAATTTCATAGAGCCTGTGGAGTGGCACTGTTATCAAACGGAAGTACGCACCCAAACACACACACACACACTCACACACACACACTCACACAACTTCAGCCCTTTAACTTGATGAAGTTTTCCTGTTAACTTTACATTCAGCGCGGATCAGCCCCCTGTTCAGCAGCATGGCTCTGTCCAACAAGTTGTGGATTCTGTGCGCTCTCTCGCTCTCCTGCGTCGCCCTTCTTGGGTCTTGCAGAAGACACGGACACGGTAAGATGACTTGAGAGAAATGTACTTGTGAAGATTATATTGATTTTTAACTTTATTTACCGCGTTCACAGTTTGCCTGAGCCGTTGAACGGCGGCACAAGGGAAAGTTTTCGCCCCGAAACTCGCGCGTAAATTGGAAGTTTATCCACACTATTATATGTCCTTGCTTCAGTTTATTCTTGTTTGGACTTTGTACAGTGTAATACGTTGTATTGTCCCCGCAGCATCCATGTAATATTTATTGTTTTTGTTGTGATATTGGTCTTTTTATACAAAAATTTAAAGCATAAACTCATTTTCAAACCGAATGCTGGCGCCCCAAAAAGACTCGTTAAACTGGCTTACCCTTAAAATCACAAATTGCCTAGTATATTGCAGTTTTGCTTAAGGTGTGATCAGTCATTATGTGTAATACCCTACACACTTGTAATACACGATCCATATTCTAACCAATCCTTTGGCTGACACCCTCCTGCGCACTTGACGCGCTGAGTTTGTTTTGTTGTGTTGGAGGCATTCTTGATCCCGTATTAGAGAGGGGAGAGCTGTGGCGTCAGACAGGGCCAAAGTCCACACCGACAGGAGTGCTCATACGGGCCACGACCCACCGCTGAACCGCCTGGCACCTCCTCCTGTCATGTCATGTCGCAACAATAGCTTCGCAGGCGGTAATGAGGCTGTTGGGATTGGGTGTCAGACACTCAACAAGCTGAGAAAGGTCTGAGCAGAGGCAGGTATGGTCCAAAGTGGAGGAGAAACGGCAATACTCCTCTTTCCATCCCTGAGAGCAGACAGTGAGCTGGCCAGGCTTCTCTAATAAAAGCTATTCGGTTAAAAGTAAAGTCCGGAAAGGTCATAAGTGTGGTGGGTCAGATATTGGCTGAAAGCAGTTAAGAGGTTTGGTGATGAACTGCAGCATTCACTGTATGCCTTTAATGTCAAAGTCAGCCTTCTCTTATCTTTCAGTGACATACAGCCGGTTCTATACATCATTTCCCTGTGTGGCAGGAACATTTACAGTCTATGTGCAGAATTACATAGCACACAGGCTGAAAACCTTCTTATGGAGAGAAAATGTGACATTTGGTTGTCTAGAAACATTTAGAAAATTAAGTACAATTCCTAAAAATCACTGTTCTTAAAATACACTCACCTTCTAGAGGGCAAAATTGAGCTACGGGTTATGGAGATAGATTCGTGTCTTTATTACATGCGAGAAAATAAATGATCTGAGAGAAAAAAAAACGTTTGAGAGAACAAGTTAACACACTGGTAGCAAAAAAGCATTTTATGAGAGAAAACAAAATATTTGAGAGAAAAAGTTTTCGTACCAGTAGCAAAAAATAATAATATTTGAGACTAAAAAAAGTGTTGAGAGAAAGTATTTTCTCATAGAACATAAAAAAATATAAATTTGAAATTTTTAAAATTATTTCTGAGAAAAAAAGTCTCTCAAAATCCTTTTTTTAACTCTCAAATATATATTTTTTTGCTATTAGTGTGAAAACATTTTCTCTCAAAAAAAAAGTGTTTCTCCCAAAACGTTTTTCTTCAAAACGTTAGAGAGTAACAGATCAGAGGTATTAAAGGATGTTTAACTGGTTAGAGAGTAACAGATCAGAGGTATTAAAGGATGTTTAACTGGTTAGAGAGTAACAGATCAGAGGTATTAAAGGATGTTTAACTGGTTAGAGAGTAACAGATCAGAGGTATTAAAGGATGTTTAACTGGTTAGAGAGTAACAGATCAGAGGTATTAAAGGATGTTTAACTGGTTAGCTCCCCAAGGATACATCCTTTAATACCTCTGATCTGTTACTCTCTAACCAGTTGAACATCCTTTAATACCTCTGATCTGTTACTCTCTAACCTGTTAAGGCTACACAGTCGTTCCTATGATGGGAATGATTTTGATTACCAACTTGCTCAGCTAGCTGCCCATCGAGTTGTGTGTGACATCATCTTACCCAAACATTGGAGTCTCCGCGCTCAACTAAGGCAGCGCATCTACGCCGGTGAATCGACAGTGGTGTAATGATTCAGTTCGACTCCCAAGACGATTCTCACCCGACTGGCCAATAGGAACGTGGCCCCGGCCATGACATTGTTTTCACAGCGAGAGCAAAATCCTGACACGAGAGCAAGAAATTGCATCAAGAGCAAAGACTTAGGTTTTGAGAGAGAGAAGAAAAACGTTTTGAGAGAAACACATTTTTTTTGAGAGAAAATGTTTTCACACTGATAGCAAAAAAATATATATTTGAGAGTTAAAAAAAGGATTTTGAGAGAGATTTTTTTTCTCAGAAACAATTTTAAAAATTTCTAATTTATATTTTTTATGTTCTATGAGAAAATACTTTCTCTCAAAACTTTTTTTAGTCTCAAATATTATTATTTTTTGCTATTGGTATGAAAACTTTTTCTCTCAGACATTTGTTTTTCTCTCAGATCATTTATTTGCTCGCATGTAATAAAGACACAAATCTAACTCCATAGCGGGCCCCTTTTGGCTTCCCTGTATGTGCGTTCTGTATCCAGTGTCTCTCACATTTAGAGTGTACTTGAACATTAAGTTCATTTAAGTCAACACAGGATAACAGCAGGTTACAGCAGCTGGTTCTGGTGCTCATTCTCCTATGCTAGCTCTGATGCTAGTGTAAAGAAATCTCCCCTGTCAAAAAAACAGTCTCTAACAAGAGCAAAGGTCGGGTGTGGCAACAGTCCCCTGCTATTTCAGTCCAGGTGACATGGTGCAGTTTCTGAAAGGAGTTTGACATTATTTTTTTTCTGCGACTATCCAACTTAAGAAAAGTGGGTCGTCTAAGACTTCTCAGCCAACGCTTTGGTCTACTATTAGTTGGCAGCCCAAGTTGCAATATATGTAATAAGAAATATTTCTTATATAGGGTAATGTCGTCTATTGAATATTTATTTATATTTATATTTTTTTAAATGGTAAAATTTTGTTCTTAAAGAACTGCACATTTGTTTTTGATAGGTATAACCACTGGAAAACTGGACACTTAATATACAGTTCAGTTTCTATCATAAAAGACTGCTGGACAGGGTGTTCTTATCCTTTGAGGAAACAGCTAAATTAGTGGTTCTGCAGATAGATATACTTTAACTGCGACTGAAATAATGGTAAATATTAAATGGCGTTAATGCTATTGTGTTGGAAGAGCAAGCCTCACATGTTTGGCATAAATTGAATATTCTCATTCCCTTTCCGTAAGCAAAAATGTAATATATTTTGCATTCAAGAGGCTCCACAAGCCGTCACCTGACATTTATTGATACTTAACATTTGCGAACACGCGTTTAGCACTTTAACCTTAAAGCACATAAGGATAAATATGCTGAGTGTTTAAATATTCCAAAACAAAAATTGAGACTGCAGGCAGTGTTGCAAAAATGCATTACCATTTGGCAATTATGCTTTGCATCCATCAGAGAAATGAGAAGACAACTCATAGGTAAATATAGAGAAGCAATTTAGGCTACCTATATTAAAGTGGCCTTCAACAATTTATTTTTATTTTTATAGAGGAACATTAGCTTTTACTATTTGCATATCATTTAGGTGCTCTCCAGAGGTAAAACAATAAGGGACTCACTGAGCCTCTTTGACACTAAACATCAGTATCATTGGTGCACAGTCTTGGTAGCTTCACTAATCGTCTCACGTAGGCGGAAACATTGTGTCTCATTAATTTGTGGTGAAATTTAATTAGATGCTCACTTGCTGTTTGAAGTGGTCCTTTTATTAGGGAGCCTCAGGCCATGGAGAGGAAACGGTATAGCATGAGCCATCTTAATTAGCGTTTGCAATAAGGAGTAGACTTCCGAAAAGCACTTACCTAAACTGTCACTAAAAACCATTTGAGTTCATTAGATGTACACTCCTGAACAAAATCTTAAGACCAGGGGAAAAATTGCAAGTATTCACATTTTGCGTTGGTGGAATGTAACCAGGTTGTAAGTAGAGCTTCAAAATGCAAAAAGAAGAAACAGGAGCAAGAAACAAAAAAAATAGAGTTGGCAATTTATTGAAAACTGCATTTAAACAGGCTGTTCATCAGCTGATCAAAAGTTTAAGACCATAGCCTTAAAAAGTCCAAAACAGAACTAAACGTGTCAAAAAAGCTTGATGCGAGTGTTCCCAGGAGGATGGTGGGAACATTGGTCCATGTGGTGAAGATGGGTTCACGAAGGGCATCCACGGTCTGGAACTGACATCCGTTTTTGTAAACTTCCCTTGCCATCCATCCCCAAATGTTCTCAATGTGATTTAGATCAGTGGGACACGCAGGATGGTCCAAAAGGCCGATGTTGGCGATGGCACGTTGCAAGAGGCCTTTCTTGTGCAACCTAACAATCCTGCCACGTTCAAAAACAGAAAGCCTTTTTGCCTGAATGCCTGATAGAAATTTACATGAAAGCCAGATTTTTGCACAGATTTGGACTTTTTAAGGCTTTAGTCCTAAACTTTTGATAAGCTGATGAACAGGCTGTTTGAGTTTAAATGCAGTTTTCAATAAATTGCCTACTCTATTTTTTTGGTCTCTTGATCCTGTTTCTTCTTTTTGCACTTTGAAGCTCTACTTACAACCGGGTTATGTTCCACCAACGCAAAATGCGGTCTTAAGATTTTGTCCAGGAGTGTATGTACCTATAACTGGAAAGTGTAGACACTTCTCTCCCTTGCCATTAAGTTGTTACCGAATGTTTTCTGCACCTTTATTTTTTTGAAAATCTCACCTTGAAGCATTTCAATGCAGCAAAAGCTCTTTTGGGGGGCAGCACTAGCATTATAAAACAGACTGTTAATGAATCAAAGTGCAATTTTCTCTTAGTGATACAATTCAGTACTCTGTGTACAAACCCACTCCCACTTTCTATTTGGGTTCAGTGTTTTTCCAGTTTTAATTTATAGTTTTACAAATGCTGAGTTTTTGTATGTGATGCAAACTTATTTATTTCTTAATTTGCTTATTTATG